AGACATCCAATATTGGGTCTTTTACCATTTTTAAAGACCAAATATTGCAGACAAACTCCTGCAAACTGATCGCACAAAGGTGCTGGCAATGTTTGAGAACTTAAACATTGCCAATGTTTTTGTTAACGTAAACTACAGTTGTCTTCAAAAAACTGAATATTGACCACGTTCAATCTCATTAATCACGTTTGATCTTCTGGCTGCAGCTTTTTGACAGAAGATGTGAAGGTTGTTTTTTTTAAAGCTTTGGTACTTTTTGAAACTACATATCAAGTGTCATATTTGAACAGATTGTGTATGTTTGTTTATTTTCCTTGTAAACTAAAGGACGCTTCATGATGACGTAAAGTCACGCGTGTCATATTATTATGGCGCATGTACAAAAGGTAACTGTACTCAGGGGGGGACAACCGTGCGTCAGCGATTAAAGTGACTACCTGATGTGTTTTTGAACAAGCGCGCGCACACACACACACACACACACACACACACACACACACACACACACACACACACACACACACACACACACACACACACACACACACACACACACACACACACACACACACACACACACACACACACACACACACACACACACACACACACACACACACACACACACACACACACACACACACACACACACACACACACACACACACACACACACACACACACACACACACACACACACACACACACACACACACACACACACACACACACACACACACACACACACACACACACACTGCTGTCATGTGCAATAACCGTACACTCTTGTTGTACTGCTGTGATGAGATATTCAAAAAGAGAAACCTGCACACTCTCACATTTTCCTCTCTTATCTCAAACACACACACACAGCACACCAACACCTTAAAACAGCTCATCACTCATGCAGGATGTAAAGTTTGACATGTGACAGAGTGAGCAGTGTAACACCTTATTAGAGCTCCTATTAAAATCTCACGTGATTTCACATAAATCTCATGTGATCTAACCGATGCGAACAAACTGAGATTGGGTATGACGTGCAAATGCGATGACCTTGTTCGACAAACTGAAGCAGGAGGCCAGCTAACAAAATAGTTCAATGTACTTACATTTTTACTAGAATCATATCAACGTTTAACGACCTGATAGGTGACAACACAGAAGAAACTAAAGTTTAAAGTCGCACATAAATAGACAAAAAAATAAATAATAGACTACAACTCCCAGGATGCATTTCAACTGAAAAACTTCCAATCCACAGCTGATCAGTTTGTGTGTGAAATAAATATTAGGGGAATAAATCGAGTGAGAGCTCCACCTACTGCTGCTGTCGGAGATGGTGAAGCGCAGTCGATGATCAGAAATGTAAAATTCTGAAATGTTTGTATTGATTAGAAATCCCAGATCAGTTCAGTATCCATGTTGAATTTATCATCAGGCTGCTGTGGTGGGTTTTGCCTCTCCTGTGTGTGTGTGTGTGTGTGTGTGTGTGTGTGTGTGTGTGTGTGTGTGTGTGTGTTGTATTGATCGAGAGGTAGAGCTGTGAGCAGGAGAACCGCAGCCGATAAACATTCCCTTTTGTTCAGAAACCTGCTGCTGCAGCTCTTCAGGGCTCATATTGTAAAACACACATACACGTAGCTTTTGTGTGTGTGTGTGTGTGTGTGTGTGTGTGTGTGTGTGTGTGTGTGTGTGTGTATTCTTGGAACATATTTCATCCTCATAGTAGCCACCACAAACAAACTGTGAATCTTTAAAATAAATAAATATCTTGGTGCAGGAACGTACACAAATTACCCGACTTAAATATTATCCAACTATTTTGAATAAAAACATCAGGAAGAAAAAAAACCTCTTCACTTTTTCTCATTGAAAAGTCTTACAATAAACGTAAGTGAACAATATTGAAGTGTGAGCTGTAATAAATCAATGCAGAGCTTCAGAATCAGACTAAACCCTTTAAACTAGACCTTCAGCATTTATATTTCTGCTTATTGTGATGTTGTCTTTGGGGCTTTGTTGAAATCGTTCATACCCCTAAAATCTGTCCAACATAAACTAAAAGTGTACGTGAGACAACAAGACATAACAGTTTATCAAACTATTGGACATTAAATCAAAAACCTCACTTGTATTTTTGTTCATTTTTGCAAAATGTACAAAAGAAATATAACGTTTTCACATCAATTATTAACGTGTGTTGAACAAACATTGTGTTGGATCTGCTCCAACAGTTAAATACACTAAAGTCGCACAGAATAACACACAAAAACAAACCAATCGAGCCAATTGTAGAGCAACATCTCCTGTGTTCTTTGAGGTAAAACCTCTGTTTTTATCAGGGTAGTGTGGTGTGTTTGTAGAGTGAAAAAACAAAACTCTTCCACAGTAACAAAAAAGTATTTCTCTGTAGGGATCCCTTAGAATAGCAACATGAGCCTGCCAGGGACATTCTCAACAAATTGTGGTGGACACACTTCGATATGACATCACCTCACAGACCACAGAATCTGGTCTCAGTTAAAGCTCCTGTGAGAAATGTTTTATCTGGTTATAAAACTGAATTAAATTAATATTGATGCTTCTGCATGACCAACAAAGGCAGACCAGCTGATTTGTAATGCTGCTCAGTCAGAATGTTTACATGCACTCTTTATTGATGAAATGCCTCCTTTCAGCCCGTTAAAAGACAGAAAGTCAGCGGTCACGACTTTGAAATCATTGTAGAAGAGACTGATGACGCAGAGGCACATATAGCATAAGACATTATGCAGCTGCTCGCAACCTTGACGATTGTGCACTTCAGTCTTTGTGCTCAGTGCTCAGTATGTGCCTTCTACCATCTAAACGTCCAATTATATTTAATGCTTTCGTTACCTAAAGAGAAAACTTCACACCGTCTTCAGACCTTCTTGTTGCCGCGGTCACTTTTGTTTCGCATATGCGTTAACTTGGCTAAGGCCGTGCCTGTGCAGGTAGTCGGCAGCAGTCAGAAACCAGGGTAAGGCGTATACATGCTACTGTATCATGCTTTCTTTCTGACTTCACCAGGTAAGAAAATTTGTTTCTCAAACCGCACAGGACCTGTTTCTATATACCCATGTATGCGTAGGCAAGTTAACCTGAAGTCTATTCATTCCTATGGGAAGCTCCCTGCTATCAAATGTGTCTGCGAAACTCCTCCCCTCCATAATATGTTGGTCCAGAATGTGCTTATACAGTCATTAAAAAATTTAACTTTTGCATTGGGTTTGGAGAGACCGTACGGCAGTGTGCCAGCTTCACTTACCGGCTCCTAACTAGCCAATAGGTTATTCCCTTCAATTCAGTTGCCGATGTTGATTATCAAGAGGGTTACGGATCTATTTACACCAGTCACATATGCAAGTAGAAACGAGGGGTTGTCCCTGTTAATAAAATCATGACATGATGTTTACAGAAACAAAAACAGAATAATAAAAAACCCCAATCAAAACCAATTGATATTCAAGTTCACGTAAAACACACTGTCTGTTGTTTACATCCGACACATCAGGTAGCTTTAGTTGTATACTGACGAAGATCTCTGATGCGCCCCCTAGTGGTAAACTCCAGTAACAGCAGCAGCAGCTTTTACTTGCATTATGTTCATGATGCAGCTGTTTTTGTTCATGCTTAAAAATAAAGTAAACCTCTGGCTTTGACATTTCAGGGAAGTTGACATTTCCCTGAAAACGTGTGACTCAACACAAACACACAGCGACCACACAAACAGGACAAGAAGGTGATGACCTCCATGTTTGTAGGCCCAGTCAAATAGCCTTTTTAAATATGGCGGAGAGGTAGGCACCTGCATCTCCTGATAAAACCCACCCCTGTAATATAACTGAATAACATTATGGGATGTTCTCTGGTGTCACATGTGTCTGTCTGTGTAGTATTTCTCAGCACGCACGCGCGCACGCCTCCTCGCCTTCTACTACGAGGCCACATGACCGAGCAGCGCCAGCCGCTCCATTCATCCACCCGCCGTGTGGTTGGAGTAAAAAAGGACCGGAGGAAACGATCCAAAACAACAGTAAATCTGTCCGGTTATCGGTGGTTTCTGAGACGCGAGCTCTCCGCGAGCGCTCTGCTGATCGAGTATCGATCCGCCTGCATGCCTGAGCAGACAATGGAGCAGCAGTGTGCAGCTACACACACACACACACACACACACACAGAAGCAGCCAAGCCCCCCCCCCGACATGCAGCCAAACACAACTGACAGTGAATGCAAATGCAGGCTTGCACTGAAGTGACCCGATCAAAACACGGATCAAACGCGTCCTCATGATGCTCCTCACAATCCTCGGTCAACACTCGCGGTGAGACCCGCACACACACACACACACACACACACACACATACCATCTCCCTTCATTCGGTGCAAAATGAGGACACTGGCACGTTCACTATCCTCAGTCCACCTTTAATCTGCAGCCACAGCAGCTCGGTGAGCACAGACACAACATGCACGGTTTCGTCTCCTCACACTGAGTCCGGGGAGGAGGTTTAAATGAAGATAAATCAAGATCAAACTGGAACTCCTTAAAAAAAAAAAAAAAAAAAAACCTGCATTATATTCCTCCCTCAGCCTGCATGAGCCCTGCTCTCCTTTTATCGCCATGTGCTACTGCAGGAGAAACACTACAACACAGAGACAGACCCAGCTTCCATGCATGCAGGAAATCTTTCTTAAATCAGTCCACGAGATTCGGCAAGGGGAAACAATTAAAGCATTTATCAGCTGTGTACTCTTGTTTTCACGCGTGTATGTGACGCCAAAACGCCACAATACACGCGTATTTAATGCAAAACAGTACAAATGTTTGTAGCATGCTGTGCAGGAGCCCGTGCGCTGTGTGTGATGTTTGCAGGCTGCAGTGTTGCAACCTGCAGCCCTTTCACCCACAAAACAAACAACACGACCCGCCAGGCAAGCTCCTTTCTCCCCCTCTCTCTCTCTCTCTCTTTACCTGCACATAAAGTTCCCAGCAGAAGTGCACAAGTCAGCCAGGAGAGCCACATATTCCCTTTCAGTCGGAGACGGTCGCTGCTGCGCCGCCGGGTGTCCTCCTGTCGTCCCCCGGATCCTTCTCCAGCATTTAAAAGACGAGTTCAAGAAGCGTAGAAAAAGACGCTGCGTAAAAGCGCGACCCGCAGCCAGGCCCGGGGGTTAGTCCTCTGGGCTTTGTGTGTGTGGGCAGTGTGTGTGTGTGTGTGTGTAGTGTGTAATAATCCAGCTAGCAGCCCCCTCCTCCCCCCGGTCTCCTGCTCGTCCAAAACGCACCAGACCCGCACGGTTCTACGGAGAAGTTCCCAGCCGATCCGGAGCCATGCGCGGCGGACAGCAGCGGCGATTCAGCCCGGGGTCACTCACACTCTCAGCTGGCTGCAGGCTCCGAAACAGTCCGCAAAACTCAAAGGAAGGCAGCAGGAGGCGTGAAAACAGCCCGCAGAGCAGCTCTCCCCCGCCCGTCTCCCCCTTTCTGTCTATCTCCCCCTGTCTCAGTGCAGTTCTCTCTCTCTCTCTCTCTCTCTCTCTCTCTCTCTCTCTCTCTCTCTCTCTCTCTCTCCCTCTCTCTCTCTCTGGTCGGGGCTGATGGGGACATGCAGGCGGGAGGAAGTGTCAAGCTGCACCAACAGGCCCAAAGTCACCTGCTTCCCACTTCAGAATAAAACACAGAACGGTGGCATTGATTTGCAATTGCACACTTGATTAGAATTTGATTCTTCAAAAATCTACAGATACACGTCCTCTCAGGGCTGGATTTGTAAATGGTTTGTTAAAAAACACAACACGTTATTACTTGAACAGTCATTACCCTTTGAGGCCCCAGTTGTTGAAGGTGCAGCCGTACTTGTCACTCAAAGAGCCCACACACCTAATTCGGGTTCACTTTAGAATCAGAATCAGAAACACTTTATTAATCCCAGGGGGAAATTCGGTGTTACCGTTGCTCTTCTAACAATACAGCAGTCGGAAATAAAATAAGCAATAAGTATCAAGTAGGGCTACTAAAATAAGATATATACAAGATAAAGCAATATTTACATTATGAATGTAGTTTTTGTATTAATCTATGTTTAAGCCTTAATATGATGTAAACAGGTGAGTTGTAAAAAAAAAAAAAAAAATCAGCCCATACTGTTTGACTGAGAAGTCAGTTTTGTTCCAGGCTGTTAATATGTTTATTTCTGCTGGAAAGTTGGACAATATAACATCTATGGGGGCTCTATGGGGATTGACTCACCCATCCAGTCCTTTGTTTGTGGTCTGCATAAGTCTCACAACAAAGAGAGAAATGCTCCGTTTCAAATCTGCTCTCCTTGTGACATCACAGTGAGATTCTGGTAAAAAAAAAAAAAAAAAAAAACCTCCCCTCCCCTGGTATCTCCACCCATCGACTTCACCCCCGACTAGAGCAAAACTTTTGCGCAGGTCCGTCATTTTTATTCTCGCTAGTGAAGTGAGCGATGTCTACGGGGAAAACTCAGGGAGGGCTCATTGTATTTAAAGAGACACACACACACCAAAACGGAGCGTTCTGAGAGAGCTGGTTTATACAGGGTCAACATTTCAAACATACTAAAAATACAATTAATCGCGATGAACTATTGAAATTTAGCGATTAATTGCGAATAAAAATTCTAATCGTATGATACCTCCAGTTATTTTGTCTCACATGTTCAGTTTCCAGTTTGAAACAAAGCAAATAAATGCAACGCAGGCTGCTTTTATTTTGATAATCTTGATCGGAAGTGCTGGCTCTCGTTTTAATAGACTTGACCGTGTTTGGTGCACCCGAGATGAACCGAGCTGAACCGAGTCCAAGATGGCTCCTAAAGAAGAGAGGGGGGGGGAGAGAGAGAGAGAGAGAGAGAGATAATTATGACTGTGTAAATCGGATATTATGGTTTACACAGCAACACTTGCCTCTCACTGAGGCATGATGTGCTATCAAAACTTGAAGCTGATAATATTAAAATCAGCCATTTAAATCGACCCATTTAAACTAAATGCAAAGATTCAATGCATCCATCACTTTCAACTATCTGAATGATATTAAAGTCGGGATGGAGTTGAATTATTTAAACCTGAACAAAAATAAGACAGAGATTGTTTGGACAACCAAATAATGATAGGAAGAAGAAATAAAAGTCCTTATGCACTTAGGGGAAAAGATTATTTACTTCTCAGGTCTGGCCCTAATACTCTATTTGAACCTTGGGTTTGGTCTCAGACATGAGTGTGGAGTTGGCCTGCCCTTTGTTGGACAGGCAGGTGCCAAACACCGGTGGTTAGCTTGAGCTAGCTTGCTAAATTATTGAATTTTCCGTTACAACAAACGTTATCTTGTGGTGTTGGCAAAAGCAGTAAACCTACAGGCTAACCCTACAGGGTGTGCGCTTCTGGTGGTGATGAGCCCAGGAGGAGGGGCCCAGTTTAAATGTTGAATGTACAAGCTGCAACAAACATTTCTACTGACTCTGCCTTTAAGGTAGAGATGGGAATCGGACCCATGACTTTGGAGCCAGCCACCACAGATGTCTTATTCTGTAGAAAACATGATGCTTAACTTACTCACCAGCAGCTCATGAATTAGCCTTGGCCTCCTCCTCTCCTGCTACACCCTCTCGTCCAAATATGATCATGTCTCGCTCAAGGTAAACCAACATGGCGGCCATATCAAGGCTTCAGATATACAGTCAAGCAATCAATGGGTGGAATGATCTGCACGCTGTGTGGACATTTCAGCTCAAGTTACATAAGTTCAGACAAAATACAGACTTGAAGCAGACAGCTGTGTTATTCTTGGCTCTGCATCAAACATACACATCCAGAAACACGGAGACAGGAGTAGGAAGCACAAACACACAGACACAGACACACACTTGGACCAAGTGTTTGAGGGGTTGAACTCCACCCCAACTCCTGTGTGTGGATTCTGCAGTGACATCAGTGATCCATCACAGCACACAGAG